GGTTGTCAGGGACTGTATTTGGTTTTCTATTTATTTCCCCAGTGCTTAGCTTAGTGCTTGGCACATAGTAGGCATTTAATAAGTGCTCTCTCATCCTTTCATTCATACACTCATAGTTTGAATTATGATTTGTATATAGATGAATCTCTATTCTATCTTCACTTCAGACCACCTGTCAGCTCCAGTATTTCTTGTTACATATAGGATGTTTTCACTTAAAGATGGAATCTAGAATTTGTCCTGAGGTCATCTAAAACCAAATCTTCCATTTCTAAAACTAGGGTCATTACCTTTACCCACTTTTATCCAATTTCCCCATTACCAAAAATAAAACCACTATCTTCCTTTTTTAGGACCAGCCTTAAAAACATTTGGAATAGGTAGTCACTTAAATGATGTAATTTGAGGGACATTGAAAGGTCCTCAGTCCCTAAACATACCCTCCACAGGCCTTCCCACAGTGTTTGAGTTTCTCATTATCAGAAAAACATTCCTCTAAGTTAAGGCATCAGCTCTCAAAGTGTGATCTGGGAATCTTTGGGAGTCCCTGAGACCCTTTCAGGGAGTCCAAGAAACCAAAACTCTTTTTCCTAATAATACTAAAGCATTTCAGTTTCTAATAGCTATGACCCACATAAACGAAAGCTTTTGGGATGTCCTCAATAATTTTAAAGAACTTTAAAGGGGTCCTGAGACCAGAAAGTTTGAGAAACACAGAGCTAAGGTACTATGTCCCAAGAAATTTTTTGTTAAAATGTAAATACAGAACTCTCGAGATCAATAATCACTACCTTACTAACACAAAGTTAATCCTTTAGCATGGATTAGTTTGCCTTAGAAAGGCTTGTTGTTGTTCAGTTGTGTATGATTCTTCGTGACCCCATTTGGGGTGTTTTTGGCAAAGATACTGAGTGGTTTACCATTTCTTTCTCCAGTTCATTTTTATAGATGAGAGACTGAGGTAAGCAGGGTGAAGTGACTTGCCCAGGGTCACACAGTTAGTAAGTGTCTGAGGCCAGATTCGAGCACATGAAGATGAGTCTTCCTGATTCCAAGCCCAGGACTCTATCCACTGCACCACCTAGCAGGCCCTGTTCTCATGTACAGTTAAACTGGAAATGTTTTCTCTCTTTACTCATTATGGCTACCTATCAAAAGCCAGGAATGTGGCTAGGCAGATAAAAAATAAAAAAGAAAGAAAATGATATTGTAATCTAGGCTTAGCTTTTTCTCTAGTCTTTTCCTTGCCTACTCATCTACATGGAAGCATAGAAGAGATTTGGAACTGAAAAAACTGGGGAACCCTGAACCCCAGAGGTATGTGATAGTTATTGGGCAAATAGCCCCAACTATGGAGGATGACCACTTTAATTAGCCTGTAGAGATTAAAATCTAGAGATCTATGGGATGTACACCATGAGTAAGAGTGAGTGCCCAGAGAGAGACTCTAACAGACCAGGAAATTTAGTCCAAAGCAAAAAGAGTTAAGCCTGAAGATACTGGCTACTTGGCTCTGAGTGTGCCAGCTCTTTACTCTGAAAACTTGATGTCTGGGGCTGTCCATCTTTAAAGAGAAGATAAGAGCCCTCACAGCCTGCTGAGTCCTTCAAAATGGCCTTTCTGATTCAACAAACTGTAATATCAACAACAGTAGAAAATGTCCCAGTCTGATTTCCTACGATGAGGACTAGCATAGCTCCCCTTAATAAAAGTCTAAATGTTTTTTGGGGAATAGTTTTTATCATAGGGTTAGAGCTGGAAGGGACCTTGCAGTCATGCAGTATAAACCTATTTTTACAGCTGACGAAACTGAGGTCTAGAAAGGTTAAGCGACTTGCCCAAGTCACATTGGTAGGTACTAAATAATGGCAAAGCCTAGATTTGAACCAGGTCATCTGACTACAAATCCAGAATTCTTTCCAAACACTATTGTCTTTACCCCACTTGGTACAGCACTGGACACAAAGCAAGCCACTTAATGTTTGCCTTCTTCATATTTGCCTTCTTCTTTATAGGAACTCTGTGGGAAAGAATAATAACCATGAATTTGTCATTTCAGTCATATGCACACACTTGGATAGCAACACAAACAGTAGTGTCATCCTGAAATATGGAAAACATATTACAAAGGATAAAATCAGCTGTCACCTATTAAATATGGGGCTTGCTTCTTCTGAAATAAGTGCAAAAGGCAAAAAGAAAAAAACAACTGTAAAGGGACAGCAAGTCCAAGACTCAAAAGGCAGGAACTGAATATATTCAGCTCTGTATCAGGAATAATAATTTCTGTTCTCTTCCTGGCTTCACTCTTGAATCACTATAATCCAATTAAGCCTCTCTTCTCTCCCATAAAATAAGGACCAGAGATTTGTAAAATGTTAGAGCTGGAAGAGGATACTACCAATGTGGCTGGCAGGATGATTATGAAAAATCATTAATAAAAATAGACTGAACAAGCAATAATTGCCATTTAAAATATCCAGATGTGGAAGTGAACTACACAGTGACTGAGTTGGTGATTACTCCATGCCATATTAAAAGACATTTTTTTTTCAATTCTATCATACTTTGGGACTGAGAAGGTTTCTCGGCAGTAAGCAAAGTCAATATTGCCTTTTGCAATGTCACTGCAAAAAAAAAAATTAGAACCAGTTCCAATCATAAAGTCCCAGTGATCATTTTCTGCTGATGCAATTTTCAAAGAATTTAGAGCCCAAAGGTACCTCAGAGGCCATCTAGTGCAACCCCCTTATTTTACAGAGAGGAAATTAATGCTCAGAGAGGGGATGGGATTTGCCCGGTCACACAAGAAGTAAGTGTGTAGCATGGCTGTCATGTGAACCCTAGTCCTCAGGCTCCAATTGCAGGGGTCTTACCATTCCCCACCTAGTGTTTCAACCAAGAAACTGTAGTATCTCTGAGATCACTTTTCATCCTTAAGGTGGCTGCTGCCTGCTTTCTACACACACACACACACACACACACACACACACACACACATACACACAGAGTTCACAGTTCCCGGAAAAGGAAATACTTGTTCTTCCTCCCTCCTCCCAAACCCTTTACTACTTTGGGGCAGTCCCTGTGGTGGAAGGATGCTAAGTGGAAAAGTATTGGGAACTTGGAGTCAGCACATCTTTTGTCTAGTCCTGACTCTGCCACTAACTACCTGTGTGCCTTGGGGCAAATCACTTGCCCTCCTTTCACCTCAGTTTCCTTATCTATAAAATGAGAGGCTTGGAAATGATGACCTTCTAGAGTCCTTCGGGCTCTTTCTGTAAAAGCTATTCATTAATTCAGAGGCAGCTGGTGATGCAATGGGTCTGGAGTCAGGAAGACCTGAGTTCAAATCCAGCCTCAGACACTTACTGGCTGTGTGACCCTGACCAAGTCACTTAACTGATTTTTGGTTCAGTTTTCTCAACTGTAAAATGGGGGTAATAACAGCACCTACCTCCCAGACTGAGGATAAAATGAGATAGTAGTAAAGAGCTTAGCACAGGGCCTTAGCCTATGAATGCTTATTTCCCTTCCTTTCCCCTTTTACAAGTGTCTGTATTGTATAATCAACCAAAAACAGTGTATGGAAACACAGAATTTTAAAGATGGAATGGAAGGGCCATTGAGATCAGCTGCTATGAAACAGCAAAGCTCTGATACAGATGCAGACAAAATTTGGGCAGATCCCTTTGTCTACTATGCCTGTGCTGGTTTCCTGGCAACAGTTACAGCTCATCCTAAATCCCCTTCTCCAAAAGGTGACGGGAAAGGCATGGACAAAGGAAGGCAGTTTCTTTACCTTCCAGGTCTCTTCCTACTTGGAATCCTCTTCCTCTTCACTTCTGCCTCTAAGAATCCCTGGCCTTTTTCAAGACTAAACTCAAACACAGGTTTTCCCAGTCCCTCTCTCCTCCCCCACTCCCAATCTTAGAGCTTTCTTCTCCAAGATTACCTCTATTCCTAATCTGTCTTCAATGTACCAAATTATTTACATATTGTCTCCCACACTAGAATGGAAGCTCCTTGAGGGCAAGAACTTGTTTGTTTGTTTTTTTGTTTGTTTTGTTTTGTTTTTAGCACAAACCTTTGCAAATAGTGGGCCCTTAATAAATGCTTGTTGATTAAGTGCCCGGTATTTCATTCCAGAAGCACTTACTGAGGGTTCCCAATTCATTCTAGGTGATGTGTTGGGATTAAATAACAACAACAACAACAATAATAATTCCTGCAGTTAAAATGTATACGTCAGTTCTGTTCCTGGAAGTGCAGAAGGGGGAATGAATGCTTTTCACACTTGAAATGCAATTAGAAACCACACCACAGTTTACGTACAAATAAAATTGCAGGGTAATGATTGTTTTGTTTTCCATTGGTATCTTTGTAGAAACAAAGATTTGGAAGCCTTCTTTAGGGCTACTCAAGGGCTGCTATGTGGATGAGATATGTGTTGAAGCACTTTGTAAACTTTAAAATAATTCGGCTATAATCATTATTAAGAATTCAGCAGGGAATCCCGCAGCTCTTCCCCCCATTTCCCCAGCCAAGTTCCTTCAGGCTGCCTACTCGGTACCCACTAGAGACAGCCCTTTCTCCCCTACGGCTCACACTTGGAACTAGAAGGTTCAAGTGCCATCTAATCCAAACCCTTCATTTTAGAGATGAGGAAACTGAGGTCCAAAGTGGAGCTAGGGGGCTTGTGTAAGGCTACACCTCTCATTAATAACAGGTCAGGGACCAGAACCTAGGTCTCCAGAATCTCGGTCCAAAGCTTTATTGGTCCGAGGTCCAGGTGAAAGCCTCCCAGGCCCCTTCCCCACTTCTTGATGGTGGTGCGGGAGGCAAGGGGGTTAGGATGCCGCCTCTCACCCCCAGGACCGTCTCCCACCTCTGCGTGAGGTGACTGCATGATAGTAAGGTGGCTTTCCCGCCCCACCCCAAAGGTGCCAGTGCCAGACCAGGAAGTGTGCGCGCAGCCTCTGCCCTGCTCTCCCCAAGGGCAGCGCCGCCTCCTCCGTGCCGCACCCCACCCCCTCCAGCGGCCCCTGAAGGTGCTGGAGGGCTCGCTCCCGACACGGCGGCCAGGCTGGGTGAAGCGAGAGGATAAAGACTAGCAGACTGAGAGGAGGTGGCGGCGGGGTTTTCGCCCTCGGGGCGCTCCTCGCCTCCCCACGCGGGCAACTAATGGAGTCCTTGCAGTCTGAGGGCTCGGGGGACGTGGGTTTCTCCGAGACCCTGGACGAGCTGGCATGGAACTTCACCTACGGGGCTCAGGGTGCGGGCAACGGCTCCCTCTCCGGCTTTTGGTACAATAGGAATCAGGTAAGGAGCCGAGGCCACGCTGATCCCCACCTGGGCAGTTCCCCACCTGCGCCGCTGTCACCTGGGAATCCCCCCCCTCCACCTGCCCTTTGTCATCTGGGCAGTCCGCTCCTCAACCTGCTCTGCTCTTGCCACTGTATTCCCTCTCCGGTATCTCTCTCACCTGCGCAGCTCCCTCCTACGCCACTCTCACCTGTGTAGTCCCCCAGCAGGGCTGTCACCTGGCCAGTCGTTTCCTAACCCCTGCCGCACACCTGCGCGGCTCTTGCCAGTGTTTTCCTTCCCCTGCATCTCCCTCACCTCCGTCCCTCTCATCTGTGAAGGTCCCACCCGTGGTGCTCTCACCTGGCCAGTTAGTTCCCTCACCTGAGCTGCCTCTGCGCTGCACCCTTCCCACTGGCTAGCCTAAACCTGTGCCCACCCTCACCTGTTCCCCCCCACCCTCAGGAGGGAGCCTTCAGAGAAGCCCCACCCCCAACACTCAACAGTCCACCCTTAAGCATCTAACATCCTATGGAGAATGAGCCAGCTACCTCATTGGTCAATCAATAAGTATTAATTATTATCATTAGTAAGTGCTTATTTTTACCACTTAGTAGGTACTTAATGTTTATTGACCAACTGGAAAAGGGAATAAGCATTTCCCAGTCAGTCAAGGAGTATTTATTAAGCACCTATTATATGCCAGAAAATGTGGTGAGCGCTGAAGATTGGAAGAAAAGCAAAAGACAGTCCCTGCCCACAAGGAGCTCACAATTTAATGTGTGTGGGGGGGGTGGGGATGGAAAGAGAGAGAGAGAGAGAGAGAGAGAGAGAGAGAGAGAGAGAGAGAGAGAGAGAGAGAGAGAGAGAGAGAGAGAATAAGCAGACAAATATATACAAACAAGCTATGTACAGGATAAATAGGAAATAATTAATGGAGGAAAGGCACTAAAAGAAAAATAAAAGTAATCATTTGGAAGACTGAGTGTTGAGAAAGGTCTTTCTCTCTTGCATCTTATGGGGGATGTTTAACCAGTTATTACTTCTGAAATGTAACTGACATGTGGAAGTTCTTCACCCATTTTCCCCATGGTCTTGACTTTCCTTGCAAACCCAAGGGCAATTCCAAACCCAACCAGAACTTGGGTCTAAACAACCAATCAAGCTTCTTTCCACCTTTCAAGCAGGCAGGAGGCAAGTAGGACTGTTTTTGTGAATCATCCCCATTTCTAGAATGTTAGCACTTGAATGGGGTTCTAAGAGATCAACCAGTCCACTTCTTTACATATCAGAAATAAGAACACTGAAGTTCAGAGAAATGAAATAAAGTTACATGTGACCAGGAATATGCTGGAAATGTTGAGGTCCAAGAGATTTCAACCCATCAAGGACCTGAATATAAGATGAGGTCCTTTGGAATGAATTCACAAACTCAAGCAGTCTTTAAGTCAAGTTGGCAAAAGTTTATTGTTACGCCTTTCATCGAGAAAGGATTCTTAAGGAACCTGCAACCTAACAAGAATGATGCTAAAGCTTACATGGGAAAAGTAGTAGATTATGTGCCAAGTATACTAATTAAATGATAACATACAACTACATCATTCACTACTGGAAACTGGGGAGGGAATTCCTAAGGGGTGTATTTTTGGTCTGTTGATGTTGCATGTTGATGTGTTGATAATGCAGATTAAACTTAAAAATTTAGTACCTTTAATGCATTTTTTTCCTAGAGAGATGGTTGTTAAATATTTGCAAATAAAACCCCTGCATGTGAGCAAAGTGGGGAGGGGGGGAGGGAGGGAAGCCTGACTTTTTATAGGATCATATATCTAGAGGTAGAAGGGACCTTAGAGGTTATCCAGTTTAACATCTTCATTTTACAGATGAAAACATTGAAGCCCAGAAAGTTAAGAACTGGGTTTCTGTATCAGGTTCTTGACTCCCGATTCTACCGTTCTTTCACGTTGACAGCCCCATGTGAAAGTGCTGTTACTAATGTGGCATTTTCCTACGTTATCTCCCAGCACATTACTTCCTTCTCTCTAAATGGAAACCTTCTCCTCTAGAATAGCAGTGAGGCACCTCTTTCAGGCTTTGTCCCAGTCTTTCCTTTGGAAAACATCATCAGCTTTAACAACCCTAGTTTAAGCAGGAGCTAAGTACCTTTTTGGAAGAGAAGGGCTTAGAGATTCCCATTTACTCTTGGACTCAGAATGGTGACAAGCCTTGTTTATATGGCAGTTCTTAACTCTGCCAAAAGGAGTCACAGAGAATAGGATCATGGTTTTGGAACTGGAAAGTATCTTAGAGGACTTTTAGTCCAGCATCCTCATTTGACAATTGAGGAAGCTAACCAAGCGAACAAGCATTTATTAGGTGCCTACTATGTGCCAGGCACTGTGACCAAACCAGCAAGCATTTATTAAGTGCTTGCTATGTGTCTATTTGCTATTCACTGTGTTGTTTACATTACTTGCCCATGTTAACACAGCTAGTAAGTGTAAGAGGCAGGATTTGAACCCAAGTCCTCCTGATTCTAAGTCCACTATGGCACACTCAGGTGATCTTGATGCTTTCTTCTGGACTTCTTACTTCACCCAAAGAATAAGAACTGCAAAAGACAATAATGGTTATTAAAGTTTGCAAAGCACTTTACAAATATTATCTCATTTTACTCTCACAACAGTCCTGGGAAGTAGATACTATTTATTATCTCCATTTTACAGATAAGGAAACTGAGGTACAGAGAAGTTAAGTGACTTACCCAGGGTCCCTCAGCTGATTCACTACCTGAGTCAGGATTTGAACTCAAGACTTCCTAACCCCCAAGTTCAACACTATCTACTAGATGTGTTTCCCAGTACATTCTTCCACTGCTCTGTGAAGTTGTAACAAAAGAATATATAATTCTCTCCTTTTTTTAGTTCAGAGTCCTCAACCAGAGAAAGTTCTGCTCTGGCAGAATGCTTTAGCCTTAAATTTCTCTCTTACCCCTCCCCTCATTTGCCTCCTCCCAACAATATTCCCAAGAAGCAGGACAAGCAAATGCCTGTACAAAACAAAGTTAATATCTAAAACAAATAAAAAAGAAAGGCAGACAGACTTTCTCTGTGACCTGAAGGAAAAGGCTTGGAGCTTCTGTAGCTAAGGGGAGAAAAGCAATACATAATGATGTTGAGATCTATAGTCTAGGATGACCACAACAGCACAGTAGCACAGACACTTCATGCCTAATAGGGCCACCCAATCTTGGTCCTTGAGTCTTTGGTCACTGGTCCTTACAGTGGCCGCCCCTGCTAACATTTCTGCTCTTGAAGCTCCATGTGGCTCCGGGCAGTCTTCCCTTCCCCAGCTGAGAGCATTTTCTACACGTCTCATCAAAAGCTGGGTTTGTCCTAACCGCCTACCTCCAGAATTGTCCCATTGTCTTTATGGTTTGCCTATGAGATGACCAATAATTAGCTTCTCGAGTGGTATTGTTCCTTTTTTAATTTTCCTACTTTGTGGAAGGGATTGCTCTGAGAAGGAATTCTTTCCCAAACAGCAATTCTTGGGACCATTTAGCAAGTGGCTGATAATTTCTGTAAGGAATTGGTTTGTATTTCATAAAAAGATCACCATGCCTGGTTGTGTTTTTTTTACAGTTAGTTTAATACTTCATTCTAGGTCCCCTTACATTCTGTGATTAAGTCCTAGTCTTTCCCAGATGTTTTTGTAGGTAAGGCTCACAGAATCACAGAGTTGGAAAGGCCATTAAGAGATTACCTATGACAACTTGTACCTGGAAAAGAATCCTCTCTCCATCCTACCTGACAAATGGCCATCCAACCCTTGCTTGAAGAAAGATGGCCAGTGAGGGAGAACTCACTACCTTGCAAGGCCAGCCCATTCTGCTTCTCATTGATAAAAAGTTTTAGAATAAAGACTAAATTCAATACTTTTCAGCTTTACCCATGGGCCTCCATGTCTGCATGGTATCACCTTCCTGATGCCATAGTCCTCCTTGAAAAAGAAGGACAAACAACAACAACAACATGGGGGCTAATAGGAAAAACTAGAATCCCTCATTAATATATTAACTGTTCAAACACATGAAGATAGAAGGATAGGTTATTGTTCAGTTGTGTCAGACTCTTCATGACCCCATGGACAGGTTGTGTCAGACTCTTCATGACCCCATGGACAGGTTTCTTGGCAAAGATACTTTGGAGTGGCTTGCCATTTCCTTCTCCAGTGGACTGAGGCAAACAGGCTAAGTGACTTGCCCAGGGTTACACAGCTCATAAGTGTCTAAGGCCAGATTTGAACTCAGGTGTTACTGACGCCAGGCTCAGCATTCTATCTACTAAGCCACGTGGTTGTACACCAATCTAATCCTGGAAACTATACCTCTTCTAATGCAACCTGAGGTTGTATTAGCCTTTTTTGGCTGTTATATTGATTCAAGTTAACCATGTAGTCCACTAAAAACCCTAGATCTTCTTGTGCCTCTCCCATACTGTACCTGTGAGGATTTATTTTTAAGTCACTTCTATCCTTACTAAATTTCATGGCAACCAATTCAGCACGATGTTCTTGTGTGATATTTTTGGATCCTTCATCTGTCGTCTGTGAGGCAGCCTGGTATGCTAAGAGAAAGAAAGAGAAAGAGAGAGAGACATACTGGCTGAATGACCTTGGGCAAGTCACTTAACCTCTAAAGTGCCCCAAGTAACTCTCTGAGACTATAAATTGCAGAGAAGCTTCAGATCTTCATTGATAAAGACAATTTCTTGACCAGGAGGTTCCCTAGACCAGTGAAATTACAGGATAAGACCCAAACTCCAAAACTGTCATTATACTGTAATCTGTGTCTTCCAATAACCACAAGCACTTAGGTCATCTGACAATTTGAGAAGCATGCTATCTGTGCTTTTATCCAAGTCACTGACAAAAATATTAAACTATTCAGGACCAAGCATAAATGTCAGGGGAATCCATTACTACCTGTATCTGATTGTCAGTCACTATTCTTTGGG